AAAAAAAAAAAAAAAAAAAGAAAGATATGTGGAAGAAAGCCCGTAAAGAGAAGGGAAAAAAAGAAGATTAGCATGAATGAACAATAACTGAATAGTGGATACAGGATAGTGTACGACCTACAGAGCAGGTGTTGTTCCAGAAAAAAAAATAATAATAATAAGATTTGCAAAATTTGCATAAGATGTTGATTGAAGTTCATTTAACCGTAAACAACAAAAACAATCAGGTCATCCCACTTTTTTTTTTTTTTTTTTTTTTTTTTTTTAATCGAAAAAGGTCCTTTCTGGGGAGCATCAGTCCGGTACCTTTTCCCCCGGCATGTCAAGAAATCTGAAATTACAATTCCGCTCCCTTTTTTTTATTCAATGAAACTGGTCCGTATGGGCCTCTGGTTGCATATCCACAATGGGGAGCGTCCGTCCGGGGGCTAGGTCCCATTAGGAGGGTAGTTCGAGTGTTTTTTTTTGTTTTTTTTTTTTCGAAGGACGACAGCCTTGAGAACCGGTTGGCCAACACTCTCCTTCACACCACATGCAACCCACTCACACCGTGCGCGCTGAAGATCCCTACGAATACCGACCGGGAGACAATGCTGTTACTCGATGGGGGCGGGGCTACTGGCAAATGATCGTTCCGGGCTCCCAGCAGAGGCCCCAGCAGCTCGTGGATCTGCACATCTTGGCGTAACCCCTCCTCCGTGCAAGCACGGATTCGAACTGGCGACCTCGACCTGAAGAGCCAAGTATCTTAACCACTACAGCCAAGGCACAGGATTCGAAAGTGAAACCATACCGGTCGTGGTATCCACCCCACCCCACCCTTGCAAGGCTGTAGTGTTGAACTCGACACACACCGCACACAACACGACATGGACACGGCAGGCCCCAACCCTGCATCCTAAAACACTAGGGCAGGCGGCAAACATGCAATCACCTCCCTCCGCCGAGAGAGGTAACCTCCCTTCGCCCAAGATAGGTAAATAGCTATGCTTGCAAGGGTCCCCTGTATAGCCTTAGGATATAAGTGGTAGGTAGGCTGTGAAAGAGGAAATAATTTGAGAGAAGAAAATAGTGTAGTTTAATATAATATTTAAAAAAAAAAGAGAGAGCTCCTCTCCGCCAGGTCGTTCAGAATCATTTTATACTGCTCATGTCATTGTATCTGGATTCAACAAACTTGGATGTGCATTTCAGCAGTTTGTGGTTGTACCAACTGAGCTAGGCCTGTTGGCCGGCCGCCGCGTTAACCACGGTTTCAAGTACACACCAGTCCCCGGCATCCGATCTGAGAATGTCACGGCCGTTAGTGAGACTTAACCCCGGTCCCTTTCGAGGTGTCGCTCCACACTAATAGACCCGGAGCATTGAGGGACAGGCCTGATAGACGGAGCTGTTCACACCACTCCCTCTAGTGGGCCCTTGTCCGGGTTTTAAAACAAACAAAACAAAACAGAACAAAAAAACGGGTGGTGGTGGTGTCTGCTCTTATCAGCACCACTAACACTGTAGGGGGCGTTTCTGTTTAAAAAAAAAACAAAAAAAAAACGGTTGCTTTTCACCCGGCTAGGCATGTAATCGTCCTGTCTCGTTTCCGCCCCTTTTTTAACTCCGTTTTGCTCTATAAGCAACGGAGGCCGAAGCGAAACAAGTGGACAACGGGCGGACGCACAACCATTCACTGCCCTGTACGGTGTGCCCCCCCTCCCTCCCCCCCCTGCCACTGGCTTCCTCCATGTTAATTGCGTGAAGAGAAGGAAAAGACCAAACAAACAAGTTGAAGCAGTTTCAGGAACAATCGCATGTGCATGTCAAACGTAAGAGAGAGACAGAAGCACGCATGTACATGCTCGGAAATTTTACTTGCCGCTACGTAAGAGAGAGACAAAAGCACACATGTACATGCTCGAAAATTTTGACTTGCCCTTTCAATTCAACTACAAGAGTACAAAAGCACACAAGCACACAAGCACACCAAGAAGAGTACATAAGAGCTGCGTAGCACACTTCCGAGCGCCGGAACATGTTTCGGGTGTTTGGTCAAACGCCTCCCGAACGTGTTCGGTCGAACATGTGTTTTGTAATTTTAAAAAGTTATAAAAACAAAAACCATAACTGTTTTTAGTTTTCTATTATTTTTAATTTGAGTTTGGTTACGAATTTGAGCATGCCTCCTCGGCAAAAGTTGTTTGTATTATTATTGTACTAATTGTACGTAACATATGTATTTTACTATTTTTTCATTTCTGAGAAACTTCTTTTAAAATTTGCATATATATGTATTAAAAAAAAGAAAAAAAATGAGAGGGACAATTGGTTTATCTGTAGGATGTGTCATTTGTTTTCTTCCTTTGTCTTTTCTTAGACCTTTCTCTTTCTCTTGTCTCTGTGAGGTCTGCTTTCCTCCTCCTCCTTTTCTTTACCTCTTGTTTGCCTTTTGGCTGCGTGCAAGTGGGTCCTTGTGACACACGGGGATGGGGGCAGCCAGCGCTCAACCTGTCATCCACGTGGCTGGCCTTGTACATAAGAGATGATGAACAGGTGGGGCTTTCCTTCCTTCT